TAGCCAGGATGGTGTCGATCTCTTGATCTCGTGATCCGCCCGCCTCAGCCTCCCAAAGTGCTGGGATTACAGGCGTGAGCCACCGCGCCTGGCCTTTTTTTTTTTTTTTTAAACAGAAATCTCTGTTCATTTGAAATGCCAAGTAGATCCAAAGAAGGAAGATGGCAATTAAATACTTAAATTAATCAAAAGGCACTATGAGACCACCTAAAACCCACTGCCACAGTGGTAGTAGGCTAAGGAAGATCAAGCTACAGCAAATCATGTAATGTGAATGTTAGCGATTACATAGCAGGAAGCACATTTGCTTTCCAGAGGACTATGGTGCAGTGTTCCTTTGGGCCCAAGTGGTATTTGGCCAGGAAAGGATCAAGATGGATGAAGGTAAAGCCAAATCAAAGGAATAGGTACAAAAGAGAATCCAAGCTACGTAGTCAAGCAGATGATGATGAATCAGGCTTCTTCCTCCCAAGAAACATTTGCTGCACTGTGCTGCTTCCCCCCTCCACTACCCCCACCCCTCACCCCATGGCTGCTCACGTCCAACTGCCTGTTCCTGCCTTACAGGGTGCTCAGCCACTGGAACTAGGTTTGGGGTTGCCCAGGGCTCTTGCCATAATTTAGCATAGACCTTGGGGAGAACTGCTCACACATGGGTTGGCTTCGTTGCTAGTTGTTCTCAACAAAGAAAACCCTGAAGCATTCACATGCAAGGTAGTCTGAGCTTCTCCAATCACAGTCAGACACCCCCACTATCCTCAAAAGTCTGAAATCTTGTAACAGCTGAGCTCTTGTTAAAGCTGCAAGACTCGCAAAATCATCAAGGAAGCCAGAATGAGACAGTGCAGGTAGGAAGTCCCAGCAGTTAATCTCAACCCGTCTTTCTCCATTTCGGATAAGCTCAGATATACCTGATGTGGGATATTGAAAGCTACACTGGAGTAAGCTGGGTCTTCTGAATTTGTCATCAAATACCAAGGGAAAACAAGGGGTGGGGTGGATTTTAATCTTAAAAAACCTCAGAAGTAACTGTGTTATAAAGGGACATGACTGAATAGGTAAGAAATGGATTCTTCATTGTGAGTTTTCCTGATGGCTTCTGCAAGGATCATAGAGATGTCGATCACCTGTATTTTGGAGCGGTGCTTCATCTTGTCGTCCTGGGGTATGGTATTGGTGACTACTACTGCTTTAAAGCATGCGTTGTTGATGTGAGAAATAGCTGGACCACAGAAGATACTTGGAGTCAAGATAGCATAAACTCTGGTGACTCCAGCTAAGAGAAGTTTGTCAGCTGCATGGCAGATTGTGCCACAAGTGTCAACCATGTCATCCACAAGGATGGCCACCAGAACCTTCACATCTCCCACAAGCACCATGCGATCCACTTAATTGGCCTTCTTTGTGAATCAAGGCAAAGTCCACATTCAGCCTGTCTTCTATGGAGTTCACTCTCTTAGCTCCACCAGCATCAAATGAGACAATAGTGCAGTTCTTCTGCTCAGAGATATTCTCCCTTATCCACTTCAGGACACCTAGGTCTCCATATAAGTAGTTCACTGGGATGTCAAAAAAAACCCCTGAATTTGAGAAGCATGTAGGTCCATGGTGGTAATATGATCTGCACCTGCTACAGATAGCGTATTTGCAACAAGCTTGGCTGAGATTGTCACCCGACTCTTGTCTTTCTTATCCTGCTGGGCATAAGGGAAGCATGGGATGACTGCAGTAAGCTGGCTGGCTGAAACAATCTTGCAGGTATTAATCATGATTAAAGGTGCCATTAAATTATTGTTGATTTCACCACAACCACTCCGAATGATGTAGACATTCTCTCCACGTACACTTTCGCCAATTTCCATACAGGTCTCCTAGTTGCTGAATTTCTTAGTCACTACCTTGCTGAGCTCCAGGCCCAGGCAGTCAGCAGTTTTCTGAGATAAGTCCTGGTGGGAGCTGCTGCTGAAGATTTTGATATTCAGGACTGGCCAACTATCCTAAGCACTCTTCACTAAGTGATCACTGCTGCTGCAGAGACTGGAATCAAAGTCGGTCCAGAGACTCAATGCTAACAGCTTTGTGATGCTACCTCACCATCTTCAAGATAGGCAATACTTTGAACTTTAACTGTTTTCAACTAAATACACACACACACACACATGACTTTATATTGGGAAGCGCTCCAGCATCATAATGAAGTCAGACAACTAGATTCTGATCCTGTATCAGTGCATCTTAATTTAGATAAGTTATTTATCTAGTCTGAGCTTTTGTTTCCTTAAGTTGCAAAAGAATAATCTCTTTCAGAATTATTGCAACATCTACACATACTATCAGTAAATTGTAGATACTGATAGTAATATCTTTATTATTAAATCAGAAAACACAAAATTTTGATTCATAGTACCTATTGAATGCTTTTTCTTCCAGAAATTTCTAACTATGTAGTTATACAGTTTCTATAGCTGTGTAGTTGACTCAGGCCAAAATTGCTCTGTTTGCCTAAACTTATTAAATTGTTGGGGATAATTATAGAGTGGGTTCTATAATCATGATGCATCTAGTAGTAATAGGATTTGGTATTTGAATGATTATTTTCTTACGTATGTACGGTAATTGTTTTTTAAGTGCTAAATACAGTGTCTTTCTAAATTGCAGTTTGTTCATATCAACAACTTAAAACTCATCTGCAGAGCACATCAACTAGTGCACGAAGGCTATAAATTTATGTTTGATGAGAAGCTGGTGACAGTATGGTCTGCTCCTAATTACTGCTATCGTTGTGGAAATATTGCTTCGATCATGGTCTTCAAAGATGTAAATACAAGAGAACCAAAGTTATTCCGGGCAGTTCCAGATTCAGAACGTGTTATTCCTCCCAGAACGACAACGCCGTATTTCCTTTGAGGCCTTCGCCCATCCTGCTGACCCATTTTTCTGCCCTCTTCTTACCCCAATTTTCTTGTATTACCTTCTACAATATACTTTTTATTGAGCACTTTGCTGCTGAAATGCTGCCTCTTGCCTTTTTTTTTTTTTTAAATTTTAAATTATCTAAATTTATTGTTTGTTGTGGTGTCTATAGCAAAGTTTTTCTATCAATTTTCCCGCCATCCCATCCCCACCCTGGACTCATTTGAGAAGACTTGAGAAATGTCTTCATACTCACACTGCTGCATGTAGCTCTTGCTTATTTACTGGTCTGGGAAACAGGATGTGTTTCCTTTTTTTAAAAGCCAATTGACAGATTACACCTAAATACTCCTCCTTTTTGTATCATTCAGCCTTTTGTTTTAGTTTGGTAAGTTTTAAGAAATTTCAGCAGCAAAGTTGTTATTCAGTGGGCATGATGGACTCCAAATGCCTCAAGTTATGTATACCTGTCCCAGATGTAAACTTCATTGTCCTTTGTTGGATGATATTTTAAATGGATATAAAATAAATTGGTCTAAAGGGCTGCCCTCCTTGTTGTGTTTTTAAATTTTAGTTAAAAACTGCTACAGCTTATGACTTTGTACATTAAGATAATTGTATTGATCTTTTTTCAGATTCCTTGTATTTTTAATAAAGTAATCTTAAATAAAAGATAGGTTAAGTGTTAGAAATTTTAAACAGCTTACATTGTTAGTGTAAAGTTATCTTTTCTTTTTTCCTAATCAGAGTTCTTGACCCTTTGGTTATTGAGTTTAAAACTTCAATTGAAATTCAATAGTATTTATTTTTTAAAAAAATCACTAAACTGTGCCTAAAGAACATAACTGCCATATTAATGTTTTGGTTTATATCCTCTATAGTAATAGAAAAACATTTAATACTTGTAATGCTGATGTGTTAATTTGATACCAGTTGAGTAGAATGTGATCAATCCAGTTTACAATCTATCATGAGTATTATTAACTAAAATCTATGTACTTTTCAATAGGAATCATTCTTCTCTTGCTGTAACACTTGACCTTAACTTTTAGAAAGTGTTCATTTTTAAACTGCAACTGGAAAGGTTGAAAAGTCAGGACTCTTGTATTTGTGAACTGTAATCTGAAGCAGATTATTTAAAGTGTAGAAAAAGAAACAAGTTCTTTTTTGCAAAGATCTGTGATTCCATATTTCAGCTTTGTGTAAGTAATTTGAATATCCAAAGGGTTGTGATGATCAGTTCTTAATATGCAACTGTCCACTTAATAAGGACAAGTATTCCAGTATCTCTTATGACTGTAGTCATAAATGATGTTGGAATGCACCATTTTGTGAAATAGTTGGTATCCCTTTACTATAATTAATTTTTGTCATTCCGGGAAATATTTGTGAAGCCAGCCAATTAATAAAGCACTTTAGCATCTGTTCAGGTAGTTTTGAAAACAAACTTTTCCCCTTCAGGATAAGAACTTCCAGGTTACCTAAAAATGCAATAAAAATCTTTATAGTCTAAGCTTCTTGGCATATAATTTTTCATCAGGGTTTTCTTTTACTAAATGAGCACAATACTGTTTTGATTTTATTTTTTTCCCTCAAACCACCAGCTCCTTACATAGTTTTTAATTATATAGCTATATGAAAGAGGTGGCTAAGACATTTGCTGCACACACTTGAACTAATGTTGGGTCAGTAACTTCGTGTTACTGCCCTGACACCAGTGTAATTCAGGTGGAAAGGTATTTTTATCTTACAGGGATATGTAGCTATGTATTTTACTAATTGTGAAACACTGGAAATTAATGATGCAGACAACTTGGTGTGGTCTTTGAACAGCTCTCTGCAGTATTTTTTTTTTTTTTCATTTCCTGTTACCATATATTGTATTTAAGTGCTCGCTTTCTACTTAAGTTGTACCAATAGAACCGGTAACTCCCAGCCCTCCCTGTTTGACACTCCTTAGCTTAGATTGATGTAGTTGTTTTTGTTATCCCTATAATGTGACTTTTATTTTTAAGTCATCGTGTACTGCATTTGTTTGTCACTAGTTGGGCACGTGCCAATAATATTCTCTCCATTCCTTAACTGCCATCTCTGTTTTGCCTGATTTCTCTTCAACTGAATAATGGCTTTTTGCATGGAAAAAATAGTTTTTACTATTAGATGGGTAAAGGGAAGAGAGAGCTAATGTATTGGACTTTGTGAGCCTACAAGGAATATTTTGGATCCCTCCAATAAATAAGGGCTATGTACTATATGTACTATATAGAGTAATCATGTGGTGGAAGATACTTGCAAGTCATAGATTTATGGGCAGGAGGATTTGTTACTCCCTGTATCTAGGCTGAATGTAAAATCCCTTATGTTGTATCAATGGGGGTAAGAACTATTTTTATTTGCCTATGATATACTTGGTTTCTAATAAAGTGCCCTAGGCTCTAGTGAGAACTGTCTACTTTGAATTGCCATTTACTCCCTTTCCTCATTTGGCCGATATGCTCTTGGCTAGCTTTTTATAAGTTAATGTGTTTCCCTAAAAAGTTTCACTACTTTATTTGAGTGTGATCCTAAAATGCCTGGATCAATAGTATATCTCATATGCAACTTGCATCAGCTCCTATTCTGTCTGGATGTCTAGAACTGTTGGAAGATTTTGACGTGTTAAGTCCTAGGTTTTGCTTTGGGAAATAAGGTTTGAAATATTGTTCATTGCATTAAGATTTGTGTGTGTTTGCTTTGTAAGCCCAGCACCAGGTTTTGGAAAATGCCTGTACTGTGAAAGTAAATCAGGACTCTTTCTGAGCCTCTTTCATTGTCAGAAATAGAATTGCTTTCCATCAGCTTCCAGGAAATTGTGTATCTGAAGTCGAAGAGATTTAACAGCAAGAATCCAGATTTTTAAATGTAATTGTTTTTTAAATGCTAATGTTTGTAAAGCACCTTCAGTTCTTCGGATGAAAGGTGCTATATTCCCTCAGTGTAAATTAATAAAAAGATTATAGGAAGTTTGTCAAAAAATTTAATGCATAGTCTGTAGTATGTCCTGACAAGAAGTTAGCATTTTATATAAGAAATTAAAAAATGCTTATTCCTCCACTTGGTTGCTTGACTGGTAAACAAAAGTGAAATCTTTTTTTTGTTTTGTTTTGCATTTGACTCTGAGCTAAGTGTTCCAACAGGCAATGTTTATTGTTACAACCTCGATCCAGTGCCCAGAACTATGCTTCATGAGATCATTACAACTCTTTAAATTGTGTATTTACAGTGCGCAGTGATGCTGACGAAATACACAGTAGTAAACCAAAAAGAAACATTTGGAAAGTCCCCTAGCATAATGCCAGACACACTAGACGCTTGGGGAAGGTTGGTTCTGCATTCCCCTCCTGTTAGTTTTCTATTTCTCTATCAACTTCTTGGTGAATTTGTGCCTTTACCCTCATGAGAGTAGGCTTATGCTGGCTTAGATCATTCAAATGTTTTCTTAATTCAAAAATGCGTGGCATTTATAGATTTGTGTTGTCAACAAAAATACTACATAAGTATATTCCACTCAATCCCTAGGCACCCACTATTCTCAGCAGCACTCTGCTTTTGTATATAAGTGGTGGGTTATAAAAGACTGCATGGAGGCATTATGGAATAGCACAGGCTTTGGGATCAGATCTAGGTTAAAACCTCAGCTCTGCCATGCAGTAATAGCAACTAACCTGTATTCAGCATATGTAGCTAAATTGTTACGTTCTTTATTTTGTGATGCCCTTGCTATGGGTCTATAACTATATTACCTTTAATTTTTTTTTTCCTTGCTAGAGAGGGGGTCTCCCTATGTTGCCCAGGCTAATCTTGAACTCCTGGCTGAAGAGATCCTCCTATCTCGGCCTTCCAAAGCACTGGGATTACAAGCATAAGATTCTGTGCCCAGCCCAAACTTTAATTAATTTTGTTCATCCTTCTCTAGAACTTTTTTCCCCAGATGAGGAAATAGGCTTAGAGAGGACAGGTGACTTGTTTAAGGTTGCACAGGAGAGCTGGAACTTGAATCCCTAGAGGGCACACCAGAGTACATCTTTAGCCCTCTATTTTAAGCAATATTGGTTATTGTAGCTGTGTGACCCTGAACAAATTGAATTTTCTGAATCTTAAATTTCTGTGTCTAAAATAAGAGAGTATCAGACAGGGTTAATCTCAGTATTAAAAATAGCACACACAAAGCACCCAGTGTCTGGTCCAAAGCTGCTTTTTATTAAGGGCTCATACTCATAGGCCATTTGTTCAAATTCATTGTAGTTGGGAAGAATAATCCAAGGCAATGTGTAATTGCTAACATAGTGTAGATTTTGTAAGTACAACACATCTGGAGAAGGAAATGTTCGATGTAGGATGGAGTAATTGGCGAAAATACAGAGGAAGTGTGAATTAAATGTGGTCTGGAATGATGGGATTTGTGTCTTACAGAGTAAAAACAACCAGAGATCACTTGGACACAATGTGAAGACTTGAGGATCCTTTTTGGGAAGGCGTAAGAAATGAATAGCTTCTGTTCTATTGACAATATCTGATATATATCAGTGAGGATTGGTCAGTTATAGAAGATGCTAAAAAGCAGGCAGTGGTTTTTTAATAAGGAATGTAATAAATGTATTTCAAGATTACTTCCCTAGTGAGTTGATGATCCCCCTTCGTCTGACACAAATTATTCTGGAGTTCTTTCCTCTGGCTTGATAATATGGGTGGAAACTGGTGGTTGAGATTGAGCTGATTTGTGGTTCTGTGACTAGAATTACATGAAATACGAATTTGGGGGGCCAACAGAGATTTGACATTTTTTCTTTGTCAAAGCAATTTTTCAAATCCTGCTACAATTTACCATCAGTATTACTTCATAAATGGAAAGTCATTTTACCATTAAAGATATAGGTAGGACCATCTCAGAAGAAAAGACAGCTCTTTACGCCAAATACATTTGGTTTTATGAAAAACTAGTATCCTAATATTTGCCATTTATGGAGATCAATGAGAGATTTTCCCCACCCCAATGTTGACATGTACTACTCGAGGCTGTCATATTATTGAGCCATAAAAGATGTTCTAATAAAATGGAAGTGGCTTAAGAGAAAGTTTTATGCCGCCTCCCAACTCTGAACAGATGCTAAGAATTTACTAAACAAGTGCACACAGGAGGAGTGATTTAGAGAGGCCTTCCCACCTTCAAGAATTTTATAATACGTTAATGAGCTGAGTCTTATTTTCAGGGGTGGCTTTGTTAAAGCAGAAGACGATGGGTAACTAATTATGCTTATGAAAGGCAGTTTTGCATGCTTGTCTGTCAAAAAATACAGTAAAATTTATTTTAAAATTGATTAATTGGTGTAGAACTTGCAATGGTCACAGAATCAGGATGGTCGGCTTACATTCAGGGATGAAATTTGTCAAGGCCTTTCAAAATAGAACACGTTGCTTTTAGTATGGCATTGGTTCTGTTTGCAGTACTGATTTTTCTTTCACGGTAATTAAAAAAAATCTTGCTTTCTTAAAAGCCTGCACCCAAGCTAGTGATCTTTTCTGCAGAGGACTGAGCATCCCAACCATGCTTTATTTTGGTGGATTCTTACAGTTTTCTGGCTGGGTCCTTTTTGAAGGGTAGCTGTGAGCTGTGAGACAATTTCAGCAAGATGTAGGGACAAGGATCGCATTCGAGGTGGCTTAAAAGGAAACACGTGTGTGAGAGTTGCCTCACTGTCTCGCCTGCTAGAGGAAACTGGGAGATTTCAGGGTTTGTTTTCGGTCCTGGCGTGGTGCAGAGGTGGAGGGTCGCCAGCAGGTGTGTGGGATGCAGGACGCAAAGCCAGGAGAACCTGGGGCAGGTGTCTGGCGCCGGGGGTGCAGTTCCCATTTTTCGGCGCTTGGTGGCGCTCGGGTCTCCTCCGGCCCTGCTAGCAATCTCTAAGGCACCTCCGCTGCCACCTGCAGTCTCAACCAAACCTCTGGGTGGGCAGCGCGGGATGTGATGGGCCGAGCGTCCAATCGACTGACAGGTTTCCGTCCACACTACTGAGCTAGCCAATGGGAGCCGAGGAGAGGCGCGGAGAAGGCGGGCCCCGCGGCAAGCCTGGCAGAG